TTTCTCTTAAGCAAAGTGGCAAAATTCACGTTCTTGTGTATTGCATGTTCTTTCGAATTCGTTTTACAAGCATTCTTTTTTTTTTCTTTTTTCTTACCATTGGTAATCAAAGCCTTTTAAACTTACCAACGTTTCACGTTGTACAAATGTCATTTTATATGTGATGTTTTACTTATTCAGAAGCAATAATTGACAGAAGTTTGTTATCATGATTATTTTTAAATAAGGGGGGGGTTTTTTGTCGAAAAAAAAGCTTCGTAGTCGTTCTTTTTGCTGTATTCTTTTATTTAATTTTATTTATTTTTTTTTTTGGGGGTTTGTTTTTGAGTCGCAGGATTAAACCATATAAAATATACCTTACTTTCACAGTGGTTGTCAGAATTTTTAGAGATGGGTGCATAAAGATCGATCATATATCTCCACTACACGCGTTGTTAACATTTTCATTTTCTGGTGCTGATTTAACTTTGTCTTTAAACTTTCCATTTCATATGTTTTTAAGCAAGTTTAAAGGTAATAGAATTCACTATTTCTATACTTGATTTAATTAAGTTTTAATACATGTAAATAAATCAACTTCCAGGGACACGCTGTATGTTAATGCAAATAATTCTTTGCATGTAGCGTTGTAGCTATTGGCATAAAAATTGAATCTGAGAACTGTTTAACAGCTGTATTGTTTTTATAATAGCAAACACTTGTATAAGTTCACATCATTTCTCAGATTTACATATTATATATTTTCATCGTTTACTATTTGCTTAAAAAGTAAAATTATTTAAGTGTATATTATATCCTGTATTTATGATTTTCTTTTGTTCAAATGCTTTAAAGAATATACATGTATGCATTTTGTTTTGTTCAAATTCTCCTTCAGTCAGTATTATTTAGGGTTTTCATATCCAAATTTCAAAATATCTTGGTTTTTTTGTCTCCTATGAAAATACGCAAGTTGGAAAAAACTGTACTTTTCTGTTATTGATGTTCATTGTTTGTCTTTCTTTACAGTGCCTTCAAAATTCATAATGCTGGTACATCATTTGTTTTTGCCTCGGAGCGACAAGAAGATATGAAAAAGTAATGCTGATATTCCTGTGATAATTTTATAAACAGTCATTCATTTTGTTTCGCATACCTTTATCAATAACTGTCAACAAAACACAAACAAAGAAACCTTAAAAATATGTCATTCAATCTAGATTCTCAAAACATTTATTTCATGACAAACATATCAGTTACAAACAATTAACCATGGACATGGTTGGTGGACTTAAATTAGAACCCACCCACCCCCTTTTTTTTAATTTAAAATGAATGTATTCACCTGGAAAGAATTGTGATAAAGTAAATTCACAATTATATTAATTTAGTTTGTTTAAAGAAATGTGATAACGTTAGGCTTCTTTGTTCTAGATGGATGAATAAGATGGGGTTAGCTGCTATATCCTTCTTCCTCCGAGGGTAATCAAACAAGATCAGACTAAAACCAGTAAGTGTGACCTATTGAAGGCCGTTAACTTGGTCATATTGCGGCATATTGAACGCAGCATTTAAGACTACAATGCCTCCCACTCTGAAAATTCCACGATGTAACCTACCTTAAATGTTACCAAACTGGTATTTTTACCGTGGTCATAAAGACTTTGAAAGCAAATTTTAAAATTTTTTATTTTGTTTAATATGAGTTACTAATAAACATGCATTTTGCACGTAATTGTCGTAAAAAATCTGGCCTATAGGTATACAGAATTTTGAATATTATACATAGAAAGACAGCGTTCACTTTCACCGAATTTTGAATGTTGTGATGCAGAGAAAAATGACCTACGATGACACAACATTTTGAATGTTACAATGCGAGTTATTACACAGCCTTTGATTGTTATTTATTCGGTAAAATGTATTTATATATCAAAGCCTTTAAAGAAACATTATACAAAGAAATATGACCTTAATTAAGTTATACAGCATGTTGAATATTGCTTATTCATAAAAGTTCGACTCATGGACAACAGCATCTTTAATGTTGTAATACGGTGAAATTGTGGCTTATATATACGGATGAATGCCTATAAAGTTGTAAGTAAGCCTATTGTGAAGTAATGTAATATTGTATATATACCAGATCTGCACGGATGATTTACTCAGGATAATTTCCCATAGTTATGTTACAGTAACTTATATTTAATCTTTCTGGATGTCAGCGTAATTAAATACTATAAAATTTCATACATACGAATCTAATGTAATCTTGCTGGATTAGTGTTACTTATACGGAAAAAAGTGACTTACCTCCGAATTAAGCAGTGACCACAATTGCTTTTGGATTGTAATTCGGAGATTCTTATTCGGAGGATAATTGGTAGGGAAATAACTATAAATGTTTCTATGCTAAGAGTTTTTTGGAAGTGTTGTTAGTGAAGCATATGATCTCTGTTTTCTTTAATCTCACCTGAGCTGAAAGCTCAGTGAGCTTTTCTGATCATCTGTTGTCCATCGTAAAATTTTCAGGTTTTCAACTTCTCAAGAACCACTGGACCAATTTTAACCAAACTTGATGCAAAGCATTCTTGGGTAAAGGGGATTTTATAGTACGGATTTTAATTGTTCAAATTATGATCCTGGGGGAAGAGTAGGACAATAGGAATCCAATTTTACATTGAAAAACCGCTGGTTTACCCGGTAAAAATTTTTGAAATTTTTCTCAATAACCACAGGCCAGAAAAGCTGAAACTTATGTAAAGACCCCGGGGGATTGTAGTTTTTAAATTGTTCAAATCTGATCTCTGATAAGGGGCACAATAGGGAATCCAAGTTTTACATTGAAATGTACAGGAAAAATCTTTTAAAATCTATTGAAGAACCACAGGGCCAAAAAGCTTAAATTGTTGAAGACCCTTGAGTAGTGGGGTTTTTAAATTGTTCATTCGTGACCCCGGGGAAGGCGACCACACCGGGGGAAATCCAAGTTTTACATTGAAGTATTTTGGGAAAAAATCTTTAAATAATCTTCTCAAAACCACGGGGCCCAGAAAAGCTGAATCATATGTGGAAACATGCTGGGGTAGTGTAGGTTTTCAATTTTTATGGCCCCTGGTGGAAGGGTTGGGTAAAAAAGGTCATAACAAAAAGATGGTGAATCTGTTTGAGAAAAGCATTGCCAAAGTTACTCATGGCAGCGATGTGGCCCATGGGCCTTTTTGTTCATGATAGTTCAGGAATCTTTATCATTTAAAGACTAAGCCAAAATGTTCCTAATTATAAATATGCTGAACAAATAAAATTTTGTATCATATTGTTTTTGGTTTCTAGATGAATATTACAGCGAGAGTTCTGATGAAGATTTTCATCCGTCTACAGCTAGCAGTATGGAGTCACTTAACAGTGTAGGACAGAGCACCGGTAAGTACGGAGTCACTTAACAGTGTAACAGAGCACCCGGGAAATCGGGGTCACTTAACAGTGTAAGACAAAGCACGGTAAGTAGGGTCACTTAACAGTGTAAGACAGAGCACCGTAAGTAGGGTCACTTAACAGTGTAAGACAAGCCCCGGTAAGTATGGGTCATTAACAGTGTAGGACAGAGCACCGGTAGGAGTCATTAACAGTGAAAGACAAAAAAGACCGGTAAGTACGGAGTCACTTAACAGTGTAGGACAGAGCACCGGTAAGTACAGTATTTAACAGTGTAGGACAGAGCACCGGTAAGTACGGAGTCACTTAACAGTGTAGGACAGAGCACCGGTAAGTAGGAGTCACTTAACAGTGTAAACAAGCACCGGTAATAGGAGTCATTTAAACAGTGTAGGACAGAGCCCCGGTAAGTATGGGTCACTTACAGTGTGAACAGAGCACGGTAAGTATGGGTCATTAACAGTGTAGAACAGAGCACCGGTAATAGGGTCACTTAACAGTGTAGGACAGAACCGAAGATGGGTCACTTAAAGTGTAGGACAGAGCACCGGTAAGTAGGAGTCACTTAACAGTGTAAGACAGAGCACCGGAAGTAGGAGTCACTAACAGTTAACAAAACACCGGTAAGTATGGGTCACTTAACAGTTAAACAGAGCACCGGAAAAGATGGTGTCACTTAACAGTGTAGGACTAGCACCGGTAAGTATGGCTCACTTAACAGTGTAGGACGGGCACCAGTCAGTTGACCTGTAAAGGTTGAACGAAGATGTGCTGATTTAACATTAACACATATCTTTCAACTTACAAGATTTCAACTTTCTAGATGGCTTAAACTTTATGTAAAACCATGATTGTATTTTTACATATTTACCTACCCTGATTAAAAATTATGTGATTTTCCGTGCATTTTTTCATAATTTATTAGATTGTTTTCGTTTAACAGAAACATATTATAGTTCAGGGAGATTTCTAGGAGTGCGGGGGGATTTGACTCGCCTTATGGATAATATTCACAAGGAACAGCTTACTTTTGAGGGAAGGACAAAAAGGGAAAAAGAGAACTAGCGCTATATTACCACAGGAAGGATTATCAGACGAAATGTCTGCTGATGGTATAGAGAAACTCAAACGGAAACATTCATTAATGCGAACATTAAAGGTGAAGATATGATAATGTCTTTCTTGTCGTAAAAATGTGAGATATAACTGATATCGCCAAAAAGTAATATTTTAATTCATGTTTTTATTACCAGGCAAAAGAATTGGAGCTTCAGGAATTAGAAAATCTACTTAAAAGTGAAAATAAAAAAGCTCTCCTTCGTAGTTTTTAAGGGAAACACCCCAAGATGTGCTTAAGGGATCCCGTTTTCAGTTTCTCGCAGTTACCTTTGATAGCAGGATTGAAACCAAAATTTTTTTAGTAAAAAATGAATTAATGATATTAAATTCCGGAAGGAAAACTAAAAACCCTCCATATAATGGAAATGGCGGACATTACGTTGAACATTTGTAATGGGAATTTCCTTGTACATGTACTTTTAATTTCTGCACTTAATGTTAATTGGTCAATGTGTTGTGCTTATGTTGTTTTGTAAGTTTCCATTTAGGATTGTGATATATAAATAAACATATGTAATTCTTTTGTAACAATAACAGTTACTAAAGGAAGGTAATGAAACCTTGGAATGTTTTCCTTTCTCCCCCCTTTTTTGGGAAAAGGTTTGGGGGCTTAATAGGAAAGTCGATGAACAGATTTATGATGATAATGCCTAATTATGTCTAGGCTGGGCAAGAATACATTTTTTCCAAATGGAAAAAAATAAATATTCGTGAAAATGAAGCGCATTGAAGTGGAAAAATTTTCCCCGTTCGAATGGAACGTTTTGAGCTATCTTTAGAGTGTTTATTATCATTTTTATGAAAAGGCCCATTTCTTTAGAAATGGATAAAACGGTAAGTTGTTTCTTCAAATACCTTTAAAAACAGGTTTTACATAAACATAATAGCCAGTCAAATTGAGGATCTAAATAAACACCGGGGAAAAAACACGTTTTTCCCCAAAAAGTGTTGTGGTAACTGTAATAGACATGATAAGTTCAAAAATATGTACATATTCGTTGCAATTTGTGTTTTACAGAGTCTCTAACTATCTTTTATTTTTTTTTTTAAAACCCCTTTTAAATTGTAACTCATAAAAGCTTGTCGCGAAAATGGGGTCTCCTAAAACTACGACGAATATTTCTTTCTCGTTTCTAAAAATATGGGCGTGTCATTATGTTATAATTGACGTTCAAAACATGACTCAGAACTTTTCATCCAAACGGGAAATTTTACCACTTCAATGCGCTTCATTGTATAATTGATAACAGGGCTCATGGTGTTGTGCTATTTAGTCATAGCTTGCATTTGGTTCTTGGACAAAAACTTGGTTAAATACCATTGTAGTTCTTGCATCTTGTTCAAGATTATCCCGAAACCTTGTTTAATATTACGCTACCAAATCAGTAAAGTATGAAAAGGAACCATGCTTCATGTTTTTGTCTTTTTTCTTTACAGTATACATGAATAAAGTGATAAATAGATGCACATTTATGTTTTTGTTTTATCAAGAATGACCAAAAATGCCTATAGGGGAAATAAGAAATTTTTAAGTTCAAAAATTTTATTTAACAATACAAAATCTTAGCAAGAAAACACCCCTTCCAAAACATATGAGGGGGGATCAGGTGCCAGGGAGGAGTGGCACCCCCCCCAGGTTTCCCCCGCAATGTTTCCTTGTCACGATCGGGAAAAAAAGGGAAAAAATCTGTCGAAAAATTCAGTGTGTAAGTAATGGCCTAACAAAAGAAGGGAAAATTTTAGTTTGGCTCAATGATAAATTGTATTTGCTGAAAAGGTTATTGTATCGACCATAGAACATGCGAAATGAAGACTTTAAACGAGACTGCTGATATTTTTTGTTTCATCAACTTGTTTGTCAATTATTTACCTTTTTTTTAAAAATTGCACATACGAACAGTATGCTGTTGCGTATCGAATCAACCGAGAAATATAAACACCATATGCAAGTAATAAAGGTTTTTTTCTGCATAAGAAAGGGGAAAGTTGACGACTGAAAAATTTAAGTCATCACATTTATCATACAGCTTTACACGTAAAACTCCTAATGATTGCATTTCACACTCGAAGACAGCGACTTTCACTTTACGACAGCAACTCATACTTCAAGCGCAACTTGAAATCAAAAGAGGACAATTTGCACTTGAAGAGATCAATTCTTACTGTGAGAGAGCTAGCAACTCCTATTCAAAATTAGTAATTCATACTCAAGACTAGTGCTAATTGTAACGGGAACCGTTACAGATGTTCCCCAAACGCTCCCGAACTCCCTTTCGGTGCCATATTCCCTGTAAGCTTCATTAAATAAGACAAATTCTGTGCATTTTTACTTTAACAACGTTTTTCCAGAAGGATACCAATTATATTCAATTTTTAACTTTGCACCCAAGCGCATGGGGAAAGAAATGTGTTATGACCATATCATCTTGTCTTTCAAGAGTAGTTTTAGATATACTCGTTTCAAATGCACGCACGTGCGTGCATGTGCATGATGATCATACCTTCTTGTAGGAGTCCCTTACATCTATCTATGTTCTAAATCCCATCCTGTTTGGTTGAAAAACAAGGGTGTTATAGCCATTTAAAGTTTCAGCCAATCAGATTGAGCACACGTGCATGCGCGTAATTTCATGATTTTTTTTTTTATATCATTTTGTAGGATATCCTAATGTATGACATTTTTAAATTTCAAAGAATTTCGTCAAAAAACAAAGGAGAAATAGCAATTTAAAGTTTCAGCCCATCAAATTTCTTGCACACGTGCATGCACGTAATTTCATGATATTTTTCTATATCATTTTGTAGGATATCCCAATGCATGACTACATTTTAAATTTCAACGAATTTCGTCAAAAAACAAAGGAGATATAGCCATTTAAAGTTTCAGCCAATCAGCTTGCAGCACACGCACATGCGCATGCGTTCATGAAAATTCTTATATATCATGCGGTAGAACATTATAATGTAGGACTATGTTCCCAAAAATTTTAAAGGATTATGACAAGAAACAAGAAAGTTATTGATACTTTAGTTTCAGCCAATCAGAGCAAAGCGCACGTGCATGCGCGTGAAATCTTTTCCATTTTGACCAGCATTTTTCTAACCATAATGTATCCTTACATTATGAGTTTCAAAAAATTTCATCAAAAAATAGAAAAATTACGGCAATATCCATTATATTGGTAATTTCACCTAATGCACGTGCGTGCTCTTGCAAGCACGTGCGCGCAAAATGACCTTTGTTTGGCAACTCTACATAACATGCCTACTAACCCTAAAAAGGTTTCACCTAAGTCGGATGTGTAGTTTACAAGATCACTCGTGGAAAAATTTTCCCAGGAAGAAGAAAAATAATAATAATAATAATAATAATAAAAAAAAAAAAACAGAGTAAAAAAAAAATGTTCCCCAACTTCGTTTGGGGAACATAATGAGCAACTCTTTTCCCAAAAGAGAAACGCATCTTAAAAGGAAAGTACTCAATGTCCACGCTGCATCTATCTCTTACCAGAGATTCCGCTTGGCATCTAATTCAAAATAATTTAATTTAATTCGCTAGACACGCTTGCATTTTCGTCGAGAAAATCATTCATTTTTTTCAAGAAAATATACTCGAAACAAAATTGTGAATGCATCATTTGAGAAAGCAAAAATACTAGTACCTTAATTATCAAAAATATGTGACCAGATTTAAAGTGAAACATTGTATGATCAAACTGATTAATGAGATTAATGTGGACTGAAACGAAACCATTCGAAAATCATGCTCACATTTTTAAAGAACGATTTTTTATTACCTTCTACAAACTTAACAAAAAATGCTTAAGTATGGTCAGGGCAACCATTATGATGGTGCCGAGTTTCAGAGC